TTGCGACTACTGAACAAACGCAGGTGAAGTTCGTAGAATTCGGTTTCGCCGCAATTATTACTGACCGTCCGTTGGTGAATTAGACTACACGTTACCTGTCAGATAGGACACCTAGATCGTGCGTTTAGGCTGTAACCTATTCCTTGCTTTGAGATCACGGCCTTAGCACAGGATCGTACAACAACCTTGAAACGTCATGAAAAATATTTCTGAATTATTATAACAAAATGGCATGGTCTGCTCGTCAATGAACACCAAAATTCGTTAAGCAGATCAAGTAGAAAATTGCGCGACTGCAAAAATGCATCCTCAACAACAGGTCCACAACGTTTATTTGTGTGTGTACTCAGTTCGGACAGACGAAAATAGAATTATACAGAAAATTCAAGCAATATGCATAATGTGGATTGAAAGCAATCTGGCGCATTCATCTAGAACTTTCTGTGAGGAATTGAACCAATCTGATGGTTACGAAAAGGGTCCCATCGATAAGAGGCGATTATTGAGAAATGTTCGTCGATTTGACGGATTTTGCGCAATTCATATTCGAATGTTGGTAATGAATATCTGGATGAAAATTTTTAAAGATGATTCGTCAGATTCAGCACTAGATATTGTTTGAATAACTACAACCTACCGTTTTCATGCCGGAGAAACAGGGAAAATCTCCTGCCTTTATAGCGGATTAAAGAAACGCTTCCCATAGGAAACCACGTTTTTCCGCATGAGAAAATCATACACTATTCTTGCTCCTTCAATGTGCCACATATTAAAATATTCACCGATTTGGTTGACCCATTGACTAGATAGAGATCAGTGTCAACCACACATACAGATGCACGCACAGGGTGTTTGAAGTTGCCGCTGACTAGAACTGACTGTGAACATCATTGTCTAGGTTTCGACAGAGTCCAGAGTCATCCTCGAGCAATTCGACTCCGCTTTCAGGCAAGAGCTCTGTAGGTGCACATTGCCTCACGTGACAAATGGACACATTGCTGAATACTTGTCAACACATGAAACTATGTGGCTAGGGTGAAACTCCACCTTCACCAAAATATGCACATCTCCACAAGTTACAATTGAACGGGAAACAGTGGTGAGTCAACCTGTCTTAGGTGATGCTGATCTCTCACCTCGAGATTACAATCTAGGTATTGTTAGTAGATTTCAAAAGGCTGGTCTTCTTAGCAGATATCTTTTCCTTTTGGTGAATTAACTGAATGGACAAAAAACATTGCTTGCAACTTCGAAAGCTGTGCAGCAGAATAGCAGATGATGCAAAATACAAGCAGAACGGAAGAAAACAAATTAAATGGAGTACGGCCTAGCTATGTTACATCATAAATCATTATTTGTACAAATTCCAGATGAGTTTGGCAAATGTTTTTATAAAATGAACTTTCGGAATGTTGATAGAATCAGTACGATTCCACTGAACGGAACAGTGATAATTATCCTTGCTGGACTAATACGGAAAGATTCACAAATTAATAAATAATTAATAGAAGCTTAACCTGAAATGTCGGTTCATTGGAGGAAACCGGTTTGATAGAACTTTTACTGAACACTGTAGGGTCACAGCAGTTATTGAACATCTCCGCACATTAACATCGGACTTCACGAACCTCTTCACAGACATTTGAGGGGTCTTATTCGGTTTCGTTCAAGTTTAACTAGGCAATGAAGATACCGCTGCGTGCTACTGAATTTTGTGTCCAAACGAATGCCACCACTCATGCATTGCACAACGGCCTCACAGCTGTAGAAAAGACCAATAACGCGAAGTACAGTACGAACTCGATTACTGTCTTGTCCCTGGAGGGAGTGTGAGACGGGATGATTGGGAGAGCATGAAAGCTTTCACGCCTATAATTTACTCTGCTGGACATTATCACAGTCTACAGCTGTTAATAACCTCGCTAAACGTATCACACTTGGAAAGTCAAAGTTTAATTTCCCAGTACAAGACGCATGGATAAATAGCAAACCACAAAGGGTAATTCAGGTCCTTCTGTTTTTGGCATTTATCGCCTGATATTTTGCCCATTTTCATTAGTGATCCGCTAGTGCATGACACAATCACTCCAAAAGCACACGTTCAGTTTGAGCAAACTTCAGGGCCGGGTGTTAAACTTAGAAAAATTTGACAATATCATTCGAAAACAAAGAAAGGAAATTTGTAGAGATGTTTGAAAAATGTTATCCACGGCAACCGAAGCGTCGGGTTACTCCACCCTATTCCGCTACGCTATGTTCTGACTTTCAAATATTCCATAAAAGAAAGGAAACCAACAAAATATGAAGAAATTTCCACAGATTATAAAGAACTTTCTGGAAGTGAAAGTGTACCATTGGCCCGCAAATAATTAGCTTTCTCTATGTTTCTGTCAGTTATTCTATCAGTAAACTGCACGTTATGATATTTTGGAGCTACAAAATATTGCTTTTTTCCTAACTGACAAGTAATCACTCGATTGGTCTGTAAAACTAAAACTTCCTCTTCTGGGCAGACAAAACTGTTTATGATAGATTCGCTATTTGGTCTTTCTGCAGACACCCGAAACGGGCATAATCCATGGAGCAATGGTCAAGTATTCAGGAATTACGACTTTGATATTTTCCTCCGTGGACTTAACAGTCAATAAAATGTTGGTCATCAGTATAGCCACTGATATTCTGAACCGAACTGCACCATGTTGCACACTGTTGACGTCAAAACTTTCATCTCATACACATCCTAAAATGTTCGCTCTAAACAAATGAGCTCTTGTTTACGACAAAAAATGAAATACCTTGATTCATATCTTGATTCATAACCAATAAATGGTTCATTGTGAACAAACAATAAGTTGGAAAAATCCGCAGACCAGACAGCCTTTGCAAAGTCCGTGTCTAACTGAACGCAAAAGTTAGGAATAAGAATGAAACCACTATTATCTGAGTTTCTGAAGGGTTCTAGAAGCTGACTATCACAAGTTAACAATTATACTTCGCACGTATCCTCTTCCACCCGCGAGGTAAACGGCAAAGTGGTCTTCATTCTGTTTTATGACAATCCGAGGAGTGGGGCGTCCTGTGCAAAGATGATTTGAGATAAACCAACCACGAACAACAATGTTTCCATCGGACATTCACCACAAAGGGACAAATTAAAGCGAGTTTTTCGATTCATCACCTGCGAATAGGACTAAATAAGATTTTGCCATCTGGAGATTTAAAATCTTTCCACGTTCATTCGGACAGTTGACTACAATAAGTGATTAAGTCGCTAAGTGAGTTAGTACAAAAGCCTTGCTATTGCTCCCACACGTAGCTTTCACAGATATTTAGCCAGACACGGAGTTACATTTTCGTTGTGATTCTTTATGCTCTTGGCCAGGTGGAGCAGTCATCTGAATACTGCTGACCAGTCAGAATGTCTGTCCGGTTTACCACAGATTCTTCGCGAGGCAACTGGTAATGAAAAAGTCATAGACTCCGCAAACTGGTCGGTGGACTAGCGGTTCCGAAACAGTTTTCCGAAGTTTACCGTGGCTAAGTCTTCATCAACCCAAGCACAACATACCAGAATGCCTAGGTTCAGGTCCCTTATCGGAAATGCCGGGAGATGGGATTTACGGGATTAGGCATATATACTGACTGAAAATTTCAAATGCAGCTTAGGGAAACGTACGTTTGTAATGTTGTTCAGTATCAAATGGCCAAAATAAAAGCAAACACATAGAACTCGTTTTCATTTAAATAGATTTATCAACTGAAGAAACTCACAACTATAATCCAGACGACGATGATTACCACGAATCCGGAGCAGGTAATCACAACTATCGCAACTACACTCAGCGACTGAACCAAGATGACTAAAACGAAAATCGCAATACAGGAAATCGTTGTCGCTCTCATGTAGCAGGTGAACAAGCCTTAAAATAAACTAAATATACCGTCCAGTTTTAACACTGTTTCGGAGTTCGCCTACCACGTACCCCAAAAGAAACGTGAGAGCCATGAAACTGCCAGGTTGCTCATGCCTAAACAGGAGCAGTCTAGATGTCGAGGTTGTGTTCAGACCACGGAACTTCCGGTCAGTAAGTTGGTGCCTTAAGAACTGAGCTATATTGAACCCAAAAGTAAAACCAGTAGAAAATGTAAGATGAATATGGTGGATGAGGTTATGGTCGTAATACCCTATGCACGATGACTTCAGTAAGATGCGTCAGCACTTCAGCCCTCTCCAATTTCCCGGTGTTTATTTATCGCCAAGATCCGGCTTATCACGACAGATGGATAAATACACCAGTGTGCTATACCATGTTTCTCGCAGTGCCATAGTAATGTTATTATTCCTAATAAATCCCACTTCTGATTCATTGCTTTAGTGCATTTAATTAAAAACTCTAAACACAGTCGCATATTAATCAATAAGTTCGTAAAAATAGTCCAGGGGCTAGTTATATTTGACAAAAAATAGACTGACCGGACTTCTGGGACTTTTAACTTAGACAGTTCTGAACATAAGTTGTGAGCACGTATAATCAATTTAAGTATCTACCATTATAAACAACACAGTTTCAAGTGTTGCATAAAAGGAACTACGCTGAGAAAAAGAACTAGCCTACCTCATAGGTTACAGCAGAATGTCAAGTGCCACCATTCCTGATAATTTCATTAGATGTGATACAAATTAAGGTGCACGAATAATCATCATCATCATCAAAGACAGCAACACCAGTGTTGGCGCTGATGCTTCACTGCCGTACGATCATAAGGTTCGTCTAGTTATATATGTATATATAATTGTTTTAAAAGCCCTACACTGAAGAGAAGCGAAAAAGAGTGGGTGAGGTAGGGGAACTAGTGCTGGCCTATGTCAAGCATACTGAGGTGCCTACACCTACCGCTCAATCAGACAATCTGGAAAGAAACTAACAGCACGAACGCCAATGACATCGATTGGTCGCCATTTCTTGCAACGTCTCCAGCCAAGCACAGACGGGGTCACGGGGTCACGGGGACCCCAT